ATCTAACAAAGTGTGAGCTTTATATCCCAGCACAATCATACAAACTAAACAGTCCTAGGTAAGTTTGGATACTATGCTTTGTTTTTTTAAAAAAATCTTTTTAATACATTTATTGCATTTGGGTGCAATACACTGTTTAAATAAAATTGCCGTATGTCCATTTTCCCTAAACTTTTTGCTCTTTCACAGTACTTACATTGACCCATGGATAAGCTGACTCAAGTGTTGGGGGTCATTTCTTGACTAAAATGTCTAGGGCTTATACATGAATAAATACAGTAATTTGACTTACCATATCTTCTGATATCTATCCTTGTCATAGCAATGGTGAAAGCCAATGATACTAAGCTTTGTTTCCAAAAACAGCATATATCAATCTAAAAATTAGAAGCAAATGGGGGGGGGAGGGATTCCAGACTGCCATTTTGTGTTGGCTGCCCAGTTCTATGATTAGGCCCAATGAGGCAACTATCTTAGGAGGCAGATACTGGGGGGTCAGCAATGGCTGTCTCCCAGCTATTCCTTCTCCATTCTCACCCCCTCACACACACAAAAAGCATATCCTATACTTCCTGAGTTATTTTGCCCCTTCAGGTTGGGAGGAAGTTTGTATCCACTGATGGTGTCCAACTTAGATTCACTTGCCAGTCCATTTGATTTTTGTGCATCAGGGTTTGCCAATATCAGGCTTGTGGGCCACAAGTAGCCCATGCCCCTCAAAACCCTAAGATCACTTCCCAATTGAGAAAATCAGGTGATTCTTCCTCCAAAAAACTGCCAAAATAAATAGATGAGAGAGGGAGGGAGGGAGGGAGGGAGAGGGGTTTTTTTCCCCCTCTTTCTGCTTGTGCAGGACACACAAAATGGGTCAAATCCGCTGCACAACACAGTGCCTTTGCCTCTGCATCCTCCAAGTGCTCCCAATATCCCAAACATGGAAATCAGCTGAAAACTAACCAAAAAATGAAGTCAGAAGTGATGTGTCATCACTTCCAGTCACGTCTGGTGCATCAGTATGGCCCACATTTTTTCCATGTTAATTCTGCCTCTGGCACCAAAATTTTCTGGGAACCAGTGAGGTGTGGTGGTTTGAGCATTGGGCTATGACACTGGACACCATGATTTGAATCCCAGCTCAGCCATGTAAATCCACTGGGTGACCTTGGGCAAATCACACTCTCTCAGCCTCAGAGGATGGCAATGGCAAACCTCCTCTGAAGAAACCTGCCAAGAAAACCCCAAGATAGGTTCACCTTAGTCAGAAATTACTTGAAGACACACAATAACAAACAACAATCAAATTTTCTGTCAAAGAAGTAATAGCCAGGGAGCCATCTATCTTGTTAATTGAAGTGTACTTTATTCTGAGCAATCACTTTAAAATCTGAGCAAAAATCTGCATGTGCTTTGTTCTTTTTAATATTATTCATAAAACACAGCGCCCAAGTTTTACTTCAACCTATCAGGTAAGAAAAGCACGTGACCATAGTTGGTGGATAGGGAGGTTCCTTTTTCCTTACCCCATGGTAGCCCTTCCAGCAGGCTAGATAAAGTTCAGAAATGATACTTTTGAAGGAACTACAGTTTCTCAAAATCTCAGTTTCCCAGAAGATTGGGAAACTACACTGAAGAGAGTAAAGCATGGTACAGGTAGAGGGACGGAGCCTTGAAAATCAGATAAGGTCTTCTCCACATAAAGACTTTTCCTAATGGAAGGCACAAATACTCTGGATCCAACTGCCTGTTTACAACACACAGACTTCTCCAAGACACATGGAGCAATGGACCTCATCTTCTCCCATGCCTGCATGTCCGGACACAAACTGCTGAAACAGCAGAATCCCAAGTTCCCTTGAAGGAGTTTATAATTACTGTTATTAAAATACGAGCTCACTGCAGTTTGCAATAACCTGGTCTGGATTTTATGAGCCTGAGGAGGAGGATGGCAACA